ATTTTAATACATACTATGATTGCCAACTCAAACTTAACTTAAGTTTCAAACTTAATTTAATTTAATCGTGCCATCTTATTGTATCTTTGGCTTTGAATATTCTATTCATACATAGCTGTGGGAATAGAGATATTCGCCTAATTATTCATGCCATTTATTTCTACTGACAGAGATGCGGAACCACTTTACTTTGATAAACTACTATCAAAACTTGTTTTTAAATTACGTTTACTTGTTCAATTGCAACTCAGAAAGCCCTATTTCTCTGTACATATCTCTAGAACATGATCTGTACCCAAATTTTTAATATTGATTATTATCGTCAAATAACAAAACCAATACTTATTTTTGCAAACACAGCTTGTAAGGTTATTGAGTATCTTATATTACCGACCTTCAACTGTCATCATATTAATACTTTTACTAAATTTTATAGTTTATATTATATTTATAGTATATAATTTTTTATTATCAATCATCGTTTATTAATTATTTCAGAGAGCTTTATTTTAATCTATACTACTTAGTAAATATATAGCTTTATAAATGTGTTTTGTTTTATTTGTATTTGAAGACAGTTAAAAATAATTATCTATAACATTTTAAACGTATCTTATTATTGAAGAAATATCTCATACATTTTTTATAAATTAGCAATTAATCATATTAAGAATCATATTAAAGAATCATATTAAGACTATATTTTTTTATTACACATTAGTCGCTTCTCTTTCAAATTACTTCACGACACGCCAAAACAAGGGTTGGTTAGGTTAATGCACTGAAAATTTAGACTAGCCCAATAAAATTAGACTAAATAGCAGTTGACCAATTTTACTATGCTCTGCACAGCTTTTTTTCTGTCTAGACTCTAGACTAATAATTTGTGTATTTCATAACTCATGGTTTACACAAAGCATTACACCTTCATTGCTAATTGATATGTAGACACATTATATGCCTTATGCTTAAAGCTGTTAAGTCAACTTTATAGCAAAATAATACCATTTACACATTAAGTAAACTTTAATAGTCAAGTAATTGTGCTAATTCTTCAGCAACTTTTTCATGAACCAGTCCATTCATTAATATTGTTTGCCGTGATGCACTCACATATGTCAGCATGCAATTTGCCTGCACTGAGTATGTCGATCCATCAGTTCACATGGATGCAGCATACATCTGCTAGCTACTCTTCTAATATTAAGCTTTCTTGTATTACAGAAAACCTGAAATGTATGTGGTGCAACACATTTAAGTATTTTTTTTTTTCATTCTGCAGAGTTGCTACACTGCAACTCTTTTGGTAAAGTTCTCAGTCTGCAACTATCTTTTTGCTGACTCAACAAGATGAACTGCAGTTTAACTGCATGTCTACGTATACCAGGAATACAGACTGACGTCTCCCACAAATGTACTCGGTTATGCTTAAAAAGCGCTGTCATTTTTTATATTTGATTTATGTTTGCTTTATGTCAGTCAGATTGTATGAGGATGATTACGATGATGACGCCGTTGACGGTGACTGTGACTGTGATCAAGATGATACGTATGCTTACCAAGCATTCATACATCATTGTTGATTCTTTATTTCTAACTTATGATGGTTTATATAGTGTACTGCCGTAGTTTTACAATATTTCATTCAATTTTTTTTGTTTTATTTATTTGTCTAAAAATCTGTCTGTTATGGCATCTTTTGAGGTCTTTTACCACACTTTTTT